GTCCATTCCTTATAGAGTGCAAATGGAAGGTGGTGATCAGGAGAGCGTGGAGGAAGAGTGAGGTTGTGAAGGGGAGGGGAGGGAAGAGGAGGGGAGGGGAAGGGAGGGGAGGGCCTCCAGGAGGGCCCAGAGCAGAGGGCAAGGAGGAGAATCTGTAATTTTGCAGCACAGGAGAGACATTTTGTGGCTTGATGCTTCTCTGTAGCTTCCAGGGGTGAGGGCAGAAAGGACAGCACATTGGGAGACTTAAGCAGCCAGGGTCACGTGACAGCCCTGAACACCCCCCCCCCCCAGTTCCTGCTGGGAGAAGCAGAAGTTCAAGGAAGCACCCAGGTAGGGATGGTGGAGGGTCAGAGTGTCACAGGTCCCAGGGGTGTGTGGATTTGGATGCTAGAGAGAACACTGTGAGGAGTTGAGGCTCCAAATGGCGGTCTGAGTGACGTCAGTGCTTGCATTTAGGATGTCACCTGGGACCTTGTTGGAAATAAAAAGTCCTCTGGGCTCTTCAGACCTCCTTCTGACATCAGAAGATCTAGTAGTATCTTATGAAGGCTCCAAAGTGACTGGTGTGCACTGAACTGAGAGACCCCCAGTACTGTCTTCAGAGCACAGACATTCTGGATAAGAGGAGGTTGAGAAACAGAGTCAGGGTGTGGGAGGGACCCCTCTGATGATGGAACTGCCAACCATCAAGCAAAAGCAGACCTGGAAAGAGTACTCAGGTGGCAATCACAACCTGCAGTCAAGAAAGGAATGGAAGACAACGGCCCCCCTCCCCCGCTATCAGAGCCCCAGGAGTCCTGGGTCACTTCTGAGTTGGCAGAGACTTCCCCAAAGATGTCCCCATAGTTCCCAAAAGCCGTGGATCTTCCACAGCAAGAGATGGTGAGTGTGATCACTAATCACAGGTGATTTGGGGAGGGTACTTGGGCTGCTCAGGTGTGCCCTGTGTAGCCCAGGCTGCCCAGGTGTGCCCTGTGTGAACATAAGGCTATCAGCCAAAGGAAGCTCACGGGGACCAGCTGTCGAGGCGTGTTGCTGGCTTGGAATATGGAGTCACCTGGGAGCTCTATTCCAAGGGCTGCTGTCTTCCTAAGAGGCAGGAAGAGGGTCCTCGCTGAAGCCTCAGGGAGGACCCCCCCAGCCTGCTGAGCATCTCCATGAACCCCATGTTGGACTTCTGGTCCCCAGAACTGCGACTGTAAATTTTTGAAGCTTTAGGCATTACATTTTCTACGACCGTCTCCAAGGCCTGTAGCGTGGGGTGAGGGTTGGGGCGGGAGCTGCTGGGTCTCAGTTAGAGGAGAGTGTGGGGTCTTCTTACCATGGCTTGTAGGAGGCAGACGGCAAAAAGCAGCATTTGAGGAAGGAAAAGGTGCAGACAGTAGGGTCTCAGGAACTCATGGGAGAGGGGGAGGGGAGGACTTGACAACCTACTATGAGAAGGATGAAAAGCAAAGCAACGGGTGAGACCGTGAGTCTTGGAGATGAGAGGCTATGGTGTCCGGGATCTCAGTTTGAGCTCTTAAAGGACATCCCAACTTAGTTTCGACAGGGTGCGCCTCAGGAAGGGCCAGGGTTGTGCAGAAGACCTTTTGGTTCTCAGAGGCCATGGGGACCACTGGCAGTACGTGAAAGATAACTGGTAACTGAGAGCGGGGGTTTCTGGGTGTCCCGGAGGTTTGAGGGCCAGGCTGCGGTGTTGTCGTACGGCCTGCAGTGGGCGCTGTGGAGTCCTGACGGCGGGCCGCATCTCTCACCTTATCCATCGCACCCCCTGGGGAAGTTCCAGTTTCACATTTGTCTAGTAAACAGCAGCTGGCTGCCTGCCCTTCCTTTACCTGTCCCCTAGGAGCCATTGAGCTACAGCAGAGAGTGCTTTACAGGCAGGAGGGCCGCAGGTGACTGCAGGCTGCCGGGAGCAGATGACGGCCTGGCAGCTCGGAGACCCGAGGGAGTCATGTCGTTATTGCTTTCTGCAGTGAAGGGAGCTGGCTCTTGCCAGAAAACAACCGCTGTGTAACCAGAAATGAACACACCAAGCCCCATGAGGCAGAGGGAAGGCCTCTCTTGAGATCATTGTTTGGTTTTGAAAAATGGGTTAGATATTAGGAAGTGATTAATTTTTCTGTGGCTCTCTGCCTCTCGTGCATGTCAAAGCTGGTTATGATGTCTGTTTATTCATCCCCTATACCCGGTGCACTGATGTCCTACTGTGTGCTGGACTTGGAGAGGCAGCCCTGAGCTCAGGCAAGCACTGAATGCTATCCTCTTCTGGGACCCACAAGATGGAACAGTCAATAAGCAAGCTGACATTGCGCAGCGGCTCAGCATGGTACCTCGCCGCTGGGGAGGAAGAGCCAGGAGTGCTTCCGGAATTAGGAAGGGAGCACTTCCGGCACTAAGAAAGGAGAACCAGCCCTGGGAGATGGTGTGGTCTGAGAACAAGGGAGGAAAGCTGTGTGAGTGGAGATTGGGAGGAGGGAAGGTGGCTGAGTATGTTGCCGGGGCTCCAGATCTAAATGCTAAGACCCATGACGTGTTTTTGCCTGTAGGCAGAAGGGGATACAGGGTGTCTTGAAACTTGGCCTGTGAGCAGGATGGATGGGAAATGTTGGGGAAACTTGAGGAGCCACCCTGTCATCCAGGCAGATGAGGGAAGGTCTTTGGGCACGGAGGGAGAAGGCAACAAACACTTCAGAGCCACAGAACGTGCTGATCTGTGGGCAATGGGGCTGTGGGGGCTCCGGGTGACCGCCATATTGTTCCTTAAGCAAAAGTTTGGAGGGTGTTGCTGCAGGCTGGTGGTGAAGGGAGGGGTGGAGACCAGGAGCCAGGGAATCTTAGGCATGTTAACTAGAAATGCCCGGTGGCTGGCACAGTGAAGTCATGCAGATGTACCCACATCTGGAATCTTTGAAAGGGGTCTGTACAGCCCTGTCCAAAGTGGTCCTGGGAAGCCTGGCCTTATGTGGCCTTGTGTCACTAGGAGCAAAGGTCCTGAAACACGGTCTTGTGGGTCTACACTGCTGCTGGTGGGGCACTTGAGAGAACTTGGCATATTTGTCACAGAGGTTGTGATTTACCGTCCCTCCTCGAAATCTGGCTAAGGATGAGATAGTGTGGTCCCCGCAGTACATTTGATTGTCGTGGTGAACTGTGTAATTTGTGAGTATAGAATCTGCAGGAAAAAGGGAATTCTTAAAGAAGCTGGGCTGGACCAGTCTCCTTGGCTGTACCTCTTGGTTGGGCCATGTATACACACCCCCACTTCTGGGTGCTACCAGGAGGTGGGGCAGGTGGACTCAGAGAGAGGGAAAGTTTTGCCCAGATTCATGTACCACTAAATGTCATGAGGTTTACAGGCCAGTCCCCTCTGCCTCCGCATGGCCTTCACTTTCGATTACTAATGACTCTTGTGGTTCCATCTTCTTGCTGTTTGAGATTCAACCTGGTTCTGTGCTTCCTTCTGGCTTATGACCCCAAAGAGGCTGTGCCAGTGTCTGTCCTACTTTCTCCCCGAAGCCTTCTAAAGCCTCCATTTGTCACCAGAGTCATGCTTCTTCTGTTCTAACGCTGCTGCTGCCCGTGGCCAGGGACCTCTGCAGACTGCTGTCACCCCTAGGGGTTTCCACTGTGTTCTTCCTTTATATCCGGGGAGTTTTAAAAGGTGGATAGACTAATTTCTGGCACTTAGGGTCTAGCTAAAACACAAACCAACCCAAACCTCTATTATGTCTTTCCAGATCTCATGGTAAATGAGTCCCCTGCAGGAGCTCAAGGCTCACCGCTGAAGCCCAATGTCTGTTTAGTGATGCTGTAGGGGATTGATAGCAGACACAAGCCAGTGTCTGTCAGGGCCCTGATACTTGGAACGTGACAGCTACTGGTCTTGTTTTGCATCAGGGGAAACTGAGGAATGGGTCAAATGTGTTTGCCAGGGAAGCTTGCATGGAAATGTAGAAGACGACATCTACTTTGAATGGCTGTAGTCTTCTCCCTGGCCTTGGCTGCAGATGCTGGCTTCCGGGAGAGACATGGAAGGGCTTCAGAAGTGGGGAAAAGACAGGTTACAGCAAACATTGTAAGGGGTACAGCCAGCTTGGGGGGTGTGGTGGCAGAGCTGGGGGGGGGGAGTTCCTCCCCAGTCCAGCCATGTGATTCATTCTGGAGAGCATGTGTTAGTGGCATCCACACCAGCTATTGGAAGCCATGTGCTCACCAGGAAACTTCTGGAAACTGGACCCTCTAGGTTGAGGGACTCTTGGAGGGCTTCCGGTGTAAGTTACCGGAGGGGCCTGAAACCTGTCAGGGTAGGTGTTTACAGACACAAGGCCTCATGCAAGAGTGCCTGTCAGGGCTTGGCACACTTGTCCACGTGGTCCTGCTAGCTGCAGGCATGGGAAGGGGTGGAGGTGAGATCTAGAACATCCCAAGGGCATCACGGTTGGGTAGAGAGTCCCTGAGGCACAGGCCCCAGGACTTCAGAGCACAGCTTTCAAGGGTGGATGACGTTTGAATAATATTAAGATTTTAAGAAATAGCAATTCCTTCCACCTTTCTTGGGTGCTTTAACTCTGAAAGGAGAAAAGCCGTTCTGAGGAGGACTGCAGCTAGAACGTCCTGGAACTTTCTGGAATATGTTTTTCAGTTTGACAATGACACCCCTCTCCTCCAGTAATTTTTGTCAGGTGACCAAACAGAAGGCCCCCATCCCTCATCCACCTGTTTCCAAACGACTTCACGTACCCAGGGACTTCCTGGAAGTTGGCCCAAGGCTGACTCATAAATCTGTTCCTGTCTGTGACCCTAAAAAGAGGACCAGGAACAGATCATAAGCTGAACCTGGATGGGGGGGTGGGGGGGATGGACCAGACCTCAGTTGACCTTGTGACTCTGTCACTTGGGCAAGCCTTCTGAGCCAGTGTTCTTACCACACAGGGCCAGCAGATGCCTCCTGAGCCTATACCCCACCTCCCAGAGAAGCAGACACACCCATGTTAAAGTTGCTCTCAACTGTTTATTACTAAGCTGTCATCATATAAGCCGTATAAAAATACTTTACATATAGCAAAAATAAACTGCATGAAACTAAAGATTAAAATCGTTTTGCATAGGAATGTGATATATCCCAACTCCTTAGACAGTGGAAATTTTCCCAAACCCGGCCTTCAGGCCCCGCTGGGGCAACCTTCTGGAACTGGGGGGTTGTGAGACTCCTGTGAGGGCTGAGAAATGACAGGGGGACAGGGATCCTCTGACGTCTGGGATGCTCCCACACAACGCTCTGGCCAATCAGAGTGCTAGGACTCCTCCTCACGTACCAACAGTGCTGTCTGCACCCAGTCCATCTGAAGCCTGAGAGGGCAGGGCTGGGGCCTTTATTTCCATTTGCCCCCGTAACCCCCCTGCGCTGTGTAGAACCAGCATTAACCCTTTTGACTCCAGTTCCCAGGACTTCACTGTGATTTCAGAGGGCGTGCTCAGGGAAGCACCACTCTTGGCCCATCATTTAGAGTTAGCTGTAAACAAACTGGATGAAGACAACAATGGTGGCCATATGTCAAGGCACGGGTAAGCTGGTGAAGGTGACGGTGCCTTATTTAAGCTGTTGGGTGGACTGCAGGGAAACCTCTTGCTCTGCAGCTGGCAGGTTTGGGTCCATGAAGGTTGATGCCCAAGCTTGGGAGACGCCAGTGGTGAGGATGTGTCTGTCACGTTCCTCTAGGCTTCCCTGCCAGCAGAGAATTCAGGTATGTTCACTCTAGCCTGGCCACCTCTGTGTCTTTTCTGAAGTGCCAAATGAACACAGTTGTTAAGTAGCCCCCCACCTCCCCACAATGGTGTGTCGGTGCTGAGCCCTCTGTGGTGCAAAGATAAACCAACTCCGCCTCCCTTAGGTTCTTAGTGCCAATTAAAACACATTGGCTTCCGGCCTCTCTGTGTGAAGGTGCCGCCACCAGGTGGCTGACCATGGCTGGTGGTGACGGATGACCAGGCTGCTACATGTTAACAAGCTATCCCAGGGCTTGGGAGGAAGCTGCTCACTTTGTCCGGGGCTATGATGAGGAAAAGGCGGCTGCTCTTTTGGGTGCTGTGCATCGGTCACCTGGGAGGACTCCACGTGGTTGGCTCTGTCAATATCAGCCTGCCCGTAGGATCTCGTCAATGGAAAGACAGACTTGTATGGCTTTAAATCAAAACCACCAACTAAACCTTTCATGCACGATTCTCAGGGACAGCCCTGGCTCGAGGCTGGAGGAGTAAGCATCTTCCTCAAGCTAGAAAAAGATGTTCTCTCCTACAAGGTCCCCTCCCATCCCATCCGGAGGTCCTGACAGAACCTGAGGTGAGTCTTTGGATTTGTTTCCAGAATGTTAAAAAAAATCAAGAATATATCATTTCTCTTACAGAAAATTAAGATACAGATGTAAAAAAAAGACCCTTAAAAAGACAGCTGACCATTTATAAATATGTTCTAACTCCAACAGGGGTGAGATTTTTAAGGGCAGATAAAAAGCATCAAAATACAAATAAGAAAATAAAATTTAACACCATGCTAATCTGGGTGGATCGATATACTCCCCAGCAGCGGCGTCTTTGTACAATCAGGAAGATCCGTGGACTTTGAAGAGAAAGTGCCACGTTTAGCAACACGGAACTGTCAGAGTGCCACCCTAACGTCACCACAGATTTAGCAAGGACACACTTCTACTTCCATCCTTCTGACCCACATGCAGTACACTTATCTTCACTGCTTCCGGCATCTTCTCTCATTTGCTAAGATCAGACTGCGTCTTCCCATCCTGGAAATGGTTGCTAAGCAATCACACCTGGCGTCGCTTCCCCTGGAGTCTGTAACTGACCAACCCTTCTCGATAGCTATCTGCCACTCATACACTTTCTCTGGCCTATTTGTCTGGTGCTTTCTTTCCTTGGCTATTTGGGATATTTGTTTATGAGCAGGTTTCTGAAACTGTTCAGCTAAGACAGTATAAAGGGAAGAACAATGTATACATGTACACACACACACACACACACACACACAAAGGTATAGAAGTTTGAACTACCAGAAACCCCTTTGCTGACAAGAAGACTAATGGGAAATGAGTTAGCCCTTTGTCGCCCTGTGGACAGTGCAGCTGAGCTACCGACTACAATTACAGGAAGGCACTTGGGTAAAACTTTGAGATATCTGAGGAAGGGCCCGATTCCCTCATGTGCAAAAAGTGGCGCTCAGCCAGGGCAAGTGCGAACTAATCATTCACCAAACCCTCATCGCCATCCCCCAGAGAAGCCGGCATTGCTCCAGTCAGAAGCTCCTGTCTGTGAAGGGCCAGCAGAAAGTTTCTGGTTTAGCAGGAAGTACTTAGAATCACAGAGACTTAGTGCTCAACTTCTTGCGGACATTCTGGGTTCAAGAGAGAATTCTGCTCAGGTCGATGCATGGGGTCGGTGGAGGGAAAGCCCAGTACTGCTGCTAGGGGAGAGACACAATAGGTACTGACCACAAAGCCACACCTCATTTTCAAGCTGAACCCTGGGTATGGGGTCTCTGTCTGGAGAGCCAGCCATAGCTGGCCCAGCTCCCAAGATTTACTTTCAAATGGCCTTAACAAGAAAGCCAGGATGTAAGAAACCAACCATGGCTATTTAGCCACTGTGGCTGGCTTCTCGGGTTCCCTGCCTAACAGACAAAGCCGAAAAAGTCACTTTATAAAGATGCCCAACAGGGACATCTGGGATGAAGGCAGGGGGACGAAAATGGTCTTGCTCACAGGATTGGGATAACGCTGTTGGAAGAAGAAAACCACACCAGGAGGAAGACCATGGAGGACTACCTGAAGCAGGCAGAGTGTGGAGTCCCACAGGACACACAACCTGGCCAAGCAGGGCTTGATCACGGAAAGGCAGATGTTGGGGTAGATCCCCCTGAGTTACAGCTCATACAGCAGCGTTTGGAGTCCATGGAGGCTTTAAATGAATTTAGGTTAAAAAAAATATATAAACTGGGGTGAAACCAACACTTTCCTGCTTTGAGATTAGGGCAGAGAGATTTCAGTCCCTTTCTTCTGTTTGGTGGCGGTCATGACAAATACCTGTAGGTTTTGACTGGGTTTGTTGGTTTTAGCTCCTTAACAGTCAATGCAAAACCCCAGAAGGTTCTCCTGACTTCTGGGTGGAGGAGGTGGAGAGGGGAACCTTCAGAAACATTGTTCCCAACAGGCAGCCCGAGCCGGATCCCACCAGAGGTCTGATGCAGGCAGCAGGGTTAGGAAGCAGCTGGCCGAGAGGGCTCAGCCTGCAGCCTCCTTGGTTGGCTCTTTGAAGCTGAGGAAAACACGACAAAGGCCCAGAAGCTAGCAGACATGTACATGTGTTATAACTTAAGGCTGAGAAGGTGGGACAGGTGGTCTTGTCAGGGCAGGGCAGCTTGGTTTTGGAAAGAGAAACTTGAAAATGACGCTTTGCTGTGGCCCACAGATGCGCGTCCACCTTCAGCTTCTACGGAGACCTGGGATTCTTGAGCCCAGAAGCTGGACTCTTGGGCCATGCTCTCTCCCTTGGTTGTTCTGTCTAAAGACCCTTCCCAAGAGATAGGAGCCATGTCTGTGGGCTATCACAGTCCCTCTGGTTCTCCCAACGGCGCAGCCCGGGGTCTTAGGCTCAGCATCCTGGTGAGTTGAGAATGAGGCTTTGGTCAGCAGGCAGTTGCTTTTTGTGTCCAGTCACCATGGACATCGGCTAAGATGCTCTTTGCGAGGCAGCAGGCTCCCAGGCTCCAACACCAACTGCCTGCACTGTGTGCACACTGCAGTGTTCCAGTCAGAGACGGCAGGAGGAGACAGAAGCGGTCCAAAGTAGAAGGCATCGTGCGATAATGTTGGTTTCTAGGTCTGATTTCGGGGGGGAGGTCCTGCAAACTCCTTCCTGATGATTTCGTTAACTAGAAAAAGGGGAGAGAATTTTCAAAAGGACGTGAGATGACACCCAAACCAGGCATCCAATTTAGATGCTACTTTCTGCACTTTTCCTTGTGATGGTCATTTAGCCATTTTAACACAAATGCCTACCTGTGTCGTATCTCTGCCCCACCCAAGTCCCCCAGCTGCTTGCTCATGTGGTAATGTGTTCAGCTGTCTCTTCTTCTGTCTTTTAGTGTTCAAGCCATTGTGGGTCTACCAAACTGCTTCTGTGATTACCATGACCTCACAGCACCCAGCACATGGTCCCATCACATCCAATGAGAAAACAAAACCCCTTAAACCCCCAAATTTAGGGCCCTTAAGAAACAGAGGGGGTGGGAGGGTTCAACAGTCATAGCTAACTGGCTGCCCCCTTAAATAAAATTTCTATCTTTTTAAATCAGCACAACGAGGGGTCCTCCAGTGCTCAAAGACTGTGCCTCAAGGCTCCTGGAGTGGAAGGGTCCTCAGAGGGGTTTGGGAGCCGGTCTCCTTTCCTGGTCAATATGTGGTTCGAATAGGAACTGCAGGCATGGCACCAGCCCCTGGCATGGAGAAGTGATCTAGCCTGTGACAATGGGCAGCTCCTCTAAGGTGTGAGTTACTAAAATGGGGAGGGGAGATCCTAGCACAGAGGAACTGGCCAAAGGCTTCCCCCAGGACCTCACAGATCAGCCATTGCCATCACCAGTGCACAGGAGGCTGCACAGCCTGTCCCCAGGGCAAATGTACATCTTCGGTGCCATTTTGTCAACTGAGCCAAGCAAGGGTGGGAGGGAGATCCCTCCCCACAGCCACCTCAGTTTCTCATCTGAGCTGTTTTATGAGCCTTCCAGATTGAAGCGACATCGAGGGCAGAGAAGCCGCCAGAGACGGTCCTCTATGAGGTCCGAGATGCTTTCTCCTGGGAGGCCCCTGCCCCATGAGCCTGTGACACCATGTCAACAGCGATGTGGATAGGTACAGTTTTAAAGGGCAGGCTAATCCAGGTTTGTCTCTGAGCAGAACTGGCCCTGTCTCCGCTGGTCTGTGACTCGGGCTCTACAGTGAGACTCTCAGCAGCAGCACCGCCCTTTATCACCGTTCTGTTTTCTCTTTGACATCTAACTCTGTGCTGGGGTGAGGTAAAGGATGTCTCATGGCATGTTGTAGAGCCCAGAGGACAACCCACTGACGTCCGTCCTCTCCTCTCACCACGTGGGCCATCAAGCCTGGCAGCAAGCACCTTTACCCACTGAGCCATCTCATTGGCTGTTTTTGCTTTTTTTTTTTTTTTTTGGGGGGGGGGTAGGGGATGGGTCCCTGACATGTATTCTAAGCACTCAAGATGTATACTATGACAGCTCAGAACTGCTGGGCAATCCTCCTGCCTCTGTCTCGCAAGTGCTGGGATTATAGGCACACACCGCTGAGTGGACTTGTAAGAGCTGATGTGAGGATGTGTTATCCACCATGGGGTGGATAACAGCACTGAGCTTGGTGCCTGGCACTGGGCAGCTGTTAGCAGTCACAGTCAGGTGTGCACTGGCGTACCCTCAGCGCTTTGCATGGGAAGGTTGGGCTAGCTCAGTGTTCCTCAAGTACCTGCTAGAGTCCGGGCCGGGGTCAGAATACCACTTCTGATATAACTTGATTGCGAGCCTGGCTTTATTGATATTACCACTACATGCCTCAGTTTCCCAACCTATAAACTGGATCCAAAACTATTGCTATTTCCTAGCGCTGTGACGTGGCAGCATCATCAAGTCAATGGCCACAGTGCCCAGGACAGAACAGGTGTGGGCTTGCGGAACAGCTCGCCAGATGTGTCAGGTATGTTCAAGAATGAACCCTGGAACCTTAGTGTAACAGACATTTCTGAGATGTTAAATAGTTCTGCTACCGGGCCTTGGGGGCGGGACTCATAGGTCAGCTGACTGGACCATGTGGGAGGGTACTGTACTGCTGTGTCTCAGGGACCAGCTCACTCCTTGGGGCTCCAAATGGGAATCTGAATGCAGGATGCCAACTCCAGCTCTGCCCCTGCATCACTGCCAGGGCCCAGTGAGCTGGTGGCCCCACAGCCCAGGTCTGCTAAAACTAGCTGATAGGCAGTGTTTTAGGTACTATGGACCCTCACCAAGGGTCTGCTCCCTCAGAGGAACGCAGGACCGGAAGGCTGGATAACCACTAGCAGCCAGAGAGAGGCGGTGTTGCCTTCTTTTGAGGTGAGGTGTTTCCTACCAGCAGGAAGCTACCATCCAACCGTATCTAGAATATTCAGCCAGTGATTCCCACTTCAGGTCTTTAACACTGAGGGCTGGTGGGTGAGGTGGCTACCAAGCTGAAGCACTTCCTGCAACCTCTCTGATGCTGGCTTTTCTTTCTAAAATCCTACTTGTACCCCTGGCCGCAGGGGAGAAAGTTCTAGAACACATACCAACCAGATGATGGCAATTACATTGTTCTATGTCAAGCTAAAAACCTGGGCTCCAAGTTCTGAGGGGCTCTGCTCAACCTCTCAGGTGTCCCCTCATGAGCCACTAGGGCAGGGGACAGCCCTTTGAAGGTAGCCCGTGATGCCCACTATGACTCTCTGTCCTTTATCTTCTTGTTGGGAAGGAGAGTCCCCAACCCAGGCCTGTCACCACCACCTCCCTCTGTCTTCTGTCCACCTTCCTCACCGTCTCCTTCACCATGGTTAAATTCTCCTATTTCTAAAACCTCTGCTCTGGGCCAATCCCCTTTCCGATTTCCAGAGTCCCTCTTAGGACCCTGGGGTCTGTCCCTTTGTCGCCTCACTCCCTGCCTGAGCATGCATGGCCCCAGCTTCCATCTTTCCAATCCATGCCACCAGAAGCCTCCGGCCCCTCGCCAGCTGATGCCACCCTTGCCTCTTCTAAGCTTTATATCTCTGCCAGTGCCACCCACAGTCCAGACCTAAGGCTCCTCACAGCCGGGCATGCTTGTTCTCTCTCCTGTACCTTCCCTTCCTGGCACCTTGCTCTTGCTGTGCATGCCTGGCCATATCTTGTACCCGGGACATAGAAGTACTCAGTAATGGCCCGGGGACACAGAGATAGACACTTCAGGTCCCATGTCAGAGTATGGCCCCCAAGGGTGGCTCAGAGGTCTGATCCCCATTTATTCATCCCATAAATCCTCCAAATATCTCCCCTCTCCTAGCTTCTTCCTCTTCCATCTTGAGCTATGAGTTCCCACACGGCTTCACCCGCTGTCCATATCTAACTTCCTGTCTGTCCTGGTTCCAACACTACCTGTTCCTTCCCTTACCAGAAGTCAGCATGGAATCCATGTCTCACAGATTGGGCCATGTGTATAGCTGTGTTGGGGGCAGGGCTATTACTGGCCTAGAAATTATATCCACAAAAGAATGATCAGATTTTCTGAGAATGGTGGGACTATTTTAATTCCCACCCCTGCCCTATTAACACAATCACTCTGTGGGCAGATGTTGGCAGTCTCTCACTGTAGTAGGCAGAGATTTGAACCCAGAGCCCACTGTGGTAACTCACTTAGTCTGAAGCCCTGTGTCTGGAGCCCCAGAATCCTTGCTTTATTTTGTGCAGGAAAAGGCCTGATATCTTCTGAGTTACAGTGGTCAGGGTCTGAAGGCGGTGGTCTGCCGGAAAGCACCACATTCTAAGAACAGGACGGGGTGAGGGACACCCCGCCATAGTGCCCCAGTAGGTCAGGACTGAGGAGGACCATGTCTCTACCTTCAGTGTGACTTTAAGCCTGACCCCTGAGGCTGCTACCAGGAAAGATGGACAGATTTTTAAGTGCAACAGAATCATTGCATTTTTCAGTATCATTGACAGCCATTCATATACAAAGAGACACTACAAACTCTAAGAACGTGAATCAATAAAATTGGCTACAGACATTAAAAAGGCCCATGCCAGGGATCGACAGATACTTTTAGTAAAGGATTAGGTACTGTGTTCAGATTTGTGGGTGCTGGGTCCTCTCTCAACTATTGAGACACCTATAGACAAATCAACACCAATGTGTCCCAATAAATCTATTGATAAAACAGGACTGGGGCCAGATGAAGCCTCACTACCATAGTCTGCCAATGGCAGAGAGGTAAAAGGATTTTTCTTTGCCTTCTTTGGGGTTCATCAATCTGGGGAAGCCAGAACCTCAAACTTATATTACTTAAGAATTATTCTGGGTTAGAGGTCAAGTTCTAGAGCAAGTTCTAGAGCAGTGGCTCTCACCTTCCTAATCCTGAGACCCCTTAATACTGTTCCTCATGCTACAGCGACACCCCCCCCCCCGGCCAGCCATAAAATTATCCTGTTGCTACTTTAGAACTGTAATTTTACTACTGTTATAAATCATATGCAGATATGAGTGACATGCTGATATCTGACATGTGACTCCTGTGGGGGGTCATGACCCACAAGTTGAGAGCTGCTATTCTAGATGATAGGATGGAGTTATCTGAGGGGTTTATCAGAACATCTTCTTGCTGGCCTCCTGTCTTTAACAGAGCACCAGGCTCTTAAGCTTCAGTTTGCAGAAGGTCACCCCCATGCAAGGCAAGGGACTCTGATAGGTTCTGACTACAGCCCACCCCCTTAGCTGCTGACTCTGGCATGGCACCTCCAGGAAGGAACAGGGACACCCACTGCTCCTCTCCTAAACCTCATCTGTTTTCTACCATTGGGTCAAACAGTAGCCCGAGAGTCCCTCCTGCAGCCAGGATAGGAAGCCGGAGGCTGTATTCTGGGCCTGAAATTCCCACTTCCCCAGCTCAACTGGCTCCTCAGCTGTGCCCAGGTCAGGAAGACATCTCATCTGCTGAAGTAGGGGAGGCTCCTGGTGGGTGGGGGTAAGGGTCTTCTCTAGAGCCAAGGAAGAGCTCTGGGCCTGAAGCACTGGCCCTCCCTATCACTCACAATCCAGAGATGTTGTCTGGGGACATAGTTATCGGCCTTACTTTCTGCAGAAATGTCCTTGTAACTTTGATTAGCCCCCTTTCCTAGGCTCTGGACGCCTAAGACTCCAGTGAAGTTTTTTAGAACACAGCTAGGCCATCCATACAAACTCAGTGGAAAAGAGAGAATCTGTGATAAGTCAAGGGCCAGATGAGTGCTGGGGTCAGAGGGAGGCTGGCAGTTGGATTGTCTGCCAAGTTCCCAGGCTCAAGAAGCACCACACACCCTTGAGGGCCTTGTCACTCTCAGCATAAAATATCTCCAGTTTTTATCAGCCTGACTCCTGGGCTATGGCAGATGCTCGTCTGGGGATGGCTGCTACAAAGAATGCCCTTGACCACAACAAAGTTTGAATCCCTGTTGTTGGATGGGATGAGTACCCCATCTTCCTAAAGAGGGTTCACTGTAGTGCTGGGGTGCTTTATCCCCTGTCATCAGGAACACGGGGGTCTGAGCTTCCAGCTCATCTCTGGGCTTTTACTCACTACTTTGGTTTTGTTGTTGTTTAGCTTTTCAAGACAGTTTCTCTGTGTAACCCTGGCTGTCCTGAAACTCAGTGTGTAGACCAGGCTGGCCTCTGCATACCCAGGGCTGAGATAAGACATGGGCCACCACTGCCTGGCTTCCTCACTGTTTTTGACTGGGATTTTAGTGTGACTCTGCCAAAGACATCCGTACCTTGCCTGAGAGGTAAAAGGGTTGTTCTCACTGACAAAAAGAAATGGAAGCTGGCCATGGCCCAGCCCCCGATAGTGCCAAATTAACCACCAGCCCAGAGAGCTCAGTGGTACCAGCTGCGAAGTCCGGCTGACCACATAGCAAGAACACAGGAAAGTGAACTTTCTCCTTAACCCACGGGGACTATATTGTCAGAGAGCCTACCAAGCTTGCCCCAGCCAGTCTGATTCTGCCACCTGACCCTTCTATGCAACCCCCGAGGCCAGAACCAGTAAAGTTGGATGGTGGTGAGGGGGAGCCAAGCAAGGGCATTGTGTACTCTGGGAAAGTCACACTCTCTCTCCTGGTCATGGGTCAGGTCATTGCACATAAGCAATAACTTAAAGGCCAAACTCTTAAGCCATGGCTAACACGAAGCATTTCCTGGCTGGCTTCCTAGGGCTTCTACTTAATTCAGAGCCCACACTCCTGAAAGAAAGCTGAGTATGCACAGCATTGTCTTAGAACAACTGGCCCTGGAGGCCACCGCTGTAGGGTACAGGGGTCCCCCAGGACAGCATGCAAACCCTTGCATCCACCCCCCACCTCACAGACTGAGAATCTTGGAGCTGTCCCGCCCTTGAGGGTAGGAGTGGGAATGACAAGGACAGTTGGCCAATGAGAAAAGAGGGTCTTGGGGTTGGTGCATTCTCTGACTGAACAGGGAGCTCAGGGTGAGAAAACACAGCTGGAGACCCCAGGGAGAAGCAGAAGAATCATTACCTTTCACTTTGATTTCTCGGATCAAAGACCAGTCACTGGGTCTCATAATATGTTTTGTATCCAGCTAAGATGTGTGTCTATCAACTCTGAAAGAGACGTGCAAAACCGTTTTTGAGAAGAAAAGGAAAAGTTACCTTTGAACTCTATCATGCTTCCAGTTTGTCTCCAGCGACACAACCCAGGAGAGAACCTCACCCTTGGACTGGAGTTTCAGGCTGATTCTGTAGTATCTTAACTTCCAGGCCTAGATGAACCCAGCCGCTGAGCTCAGAAGCACAAGAGACTAGGGACTTTACGCAAAGAGGATGTGATGGTCTCTGAGGCAAAATACTTAAGCAAGATGAGGGGTCGGGCAAGCCTCTAAGCAATACTGAAGGCCTCTTGTCAGTCCCTAGGGCCTGTCACAGAGATGAAATAAAATTGTCTTCCTCTAGAGCCTAGAAAAAAGGAATCCCAGGAGGGACCCATCTACTGTGACATCCTTCTGCAAAGACTGCACCTCAGAGAGCAAACATACATTCCTAAAATGTCCCCAAAAGTTACTCTCTCCAAAGCCATTTACTCCTCAGAGCAATGAAGACCCCTGAAGAGGATGGGACCCATTTTTTTTTTGATCCAGCTATTGTGTTCGATCTCTCTCTCAAATTTTCAGGGATCCTGGCCTCCCTGTCCCCTCTGGAGGATTCACATAGGTCTGAGGCCCCTTTGATGCAAAGACCTGTGGGTTCTCTGAGGTCCTTTGTTTCTGGGAGGTGGGGGATCCCCTTCCCCTATCTAACAGAATTCATTCTCAGAGATGTTGGACTCCCTGGGGGCTTCACCCAAGGGGAGAAGGTTCTTTTCAGCATTTACAAGCCAGGCCTGAACTTCCAACTGAGATGAGGTTGGTTCCCAGCAGACCTGGGACTACAGTCTACAGGACTTATTTATAAGCCTACAGGACTTATTTATGTCCATTTGCTCTCATAGTGTAGTAAGCGATGTGGGAACCCTGCCTCTCCCATCTCTCTTGAGACACAGGTGGCTGCTATCCAGTGTTTGAGGAACATGAGGCCCCAAGGCCGGTATTGGCTGGCTTTTCCTGTCTGCCCTATGACAGCTCCCCCAGAATCCAGAGCAGGTGTTCTCAGGCCATTCCTTTTGGTGTCACAACATAATCCTCCTGCCAATGGCCCCATTAGCGGTTTTAAACTCGGGCCAGCACCCCTGAACCGTACACTTAGGATGTCTTCGTGTAGCTCAGACTTTACATGGCTTCAAAGCGGTCTCTGGACCTTCTAACTGCCTCTGTGGACTCAAAAGCTGGTACCTCTGCAAAATCCCAATTCCCCCACATTCCCGGTATACTCTGTCTCTGTTTATTTTTCTTTTCTTTGGAGACAGGATCATATGTCTCTGAGTCTGGCTTCCAGTAAGTAGCTAAAAATGACCTTGAACTTCTGATCTGCCTACAGTGAGATTATAGGCATGTACCAACATGCCTGGCTACATGTGGCCAAACCCAGGGCTTGCTGGGCAGGCATGTCATTAACTGACCTATATCACCAACCTCATTCTCACTATGGGAAATGCAGATGACCACCCTTGGGGTTTGCTGGTCCCTTCCTGCAGTTTATAGTCCACTCACCACAAATGTTCCTAGATCTGCCCTGGAACAGACTAACTGTCATTACCTGGCCCTGGCTTCCAGATCAGGTCCCCGCCTGTTAGCAGGAGGACACCTCCTCCCCCACCACTTGCTGTTCCCTTGAAAAACAGATCAGAAATGCCACACGGCTAAGGGTTTCCAGTGTGTCCCCATAACACCAAGCTAAGCATCCCCGAGGGGAAAGTGCTGTTACACACATGGACTCAAGACTAAGCCACTTAGTGCTGTCATCGGGAAGTCTTGCTTGCCTGCCCTGCCTCCATGGACTCAAAAGCTGGTCCCAAAGAAGGGAAGCGTCTACCTCAAAAAGGCCGTGCCCCTCACTGAGGTTTGTGTGAGCTGAGGCGAGGCTTCCTGTTAGTGACAAGACTTCTCAGCTGCTCTTGGTGAAAGCCAGGGGTGTGAAGCCAGAGGCAGGGCCTTTCTCGGTCTGAGGTGCCTACAACTCAGGTTGGGTCTTTGACTCCAACCACCTATCCCTCTGTGCTGGTGAAGTACAGGCAGCCCCAGCTGCAGCCTCTCACCTGGCTCGATGTTTGGTGGAAACCCTGTTCTCAGGCCAAGTTATTGAGGCCAAGAAAGGAAGGTGTGTCCCTGCAAAGCCACGAAATGGCCCAACCCCTGCAGGTCCCACCAACCTTTCTCTGGTATCTACACACCAGCTCTGGTTCCAAGGAGTCTCCTTTGGGGTTTGAACCAGAGGCTGAAAACCCCTTTACCCTATACTCCTGAACTGGGGAGCCTTCCAGCCAGGAGCCAGCCTCAGAGACTTCCATTTAAGGTTCTCCTAATCTTCAGGATGCCCCGGGTAAGGATGCTGTGGCTATCTTTTGGAAGTTTCTGGATTGAGATCACTGTGGTCTCTCAGGGAGCCTCAGTTTCCTCAACCGTGCAACAGCAATACAGACAGTTCTGTGGCATGAGCTGTGCTTAGCAGTGCCACCTACGGTCTTCTCATGAAGAGGAGAAGGGGGTCTGGGACCCTCTGAAAACTAAGACTACCATTCTATCTCCCTGCATGTTTCAACAGGAAGTAGGTTCCGCAGACCTCTTCGAGGGTTCTGGCTAGTTCCTGGGAATACAGAGATGGACATCAAGAGGCGTTATGTAAGAGCTCCATGCTACTCCGGCTGCCTCCCCGAAGCCATTGGTCTTAGAATCCCTGCCCAATTTGGGGGCCTCCTACAAGACTACAGCTGTAAGCCTAAACCAGACACCCCACTTCTACCCATGAGCACCATGGATCTGACAGTAAAGAACCGAGTTGCTTAAGCTACAGTGATTGCTATGGACGCACAAAGAGTCACAGATCCGTCATCCGGCCAGCTTCCTGACTCCTGGGCCACAGACACACATGTGTAGAAGTTCCAGCATGTGTGAGAATCTGCTGTGTGTGGAGTTGTGGAACCAAAGGGGAACAAAAGCAGGTTTGAGAGCATGCTCAGTCTGATGGCTCTACTGTCCCAGGGGGCCAGGTAGAGAGCCTGTTCCCAAGACTTTCATACGTCTACACATGGACTTGAAGCCTAGAAAGAAACACCAGGAAGTGCAGCCTCTCTGTCAAGTCAAGACCCGGGCTGAGTTCATCCCTCAGCTGGGTTCTAACCCCCAGCTCAGCAGAACGTCTCCTATCAATCAAGTGACCACACAGACGCTTCTGCAGCAAGTGTAGCACACGGCTCCTGAACAGAGCAGTGTGTCAGCTCCTCCTCCCTTCTGCCAGCTCGCCACTGTGGCCCAGGCTCTTCAAGAAGATGGACTGTGAAGCAAGGACTGCCATATCTTCACTGCCTTGACATCAAGGGCTGATGCAAGATGCTGGGTGCCGTGGGTCCCGAGTTCAGGAAACAGCCATCCAAACCCACAGGGCGGCTGTGACCACAAACGAGATGGAGACATAGCTAACTGGGAAGCCATGATTCTCGCTGGGGTTGAAAGGCTTAGTCAAAGTCCGCATCTCCACTTCTGAGATTGCATGTGTGTATGGGGTGGGACTGAGGCTGACGAGAGCAGCTCAGGCCTCCCTCTGGAGAGGCAGGTGGGAACAGGGGCAGTAAGGAAGCCCCTCACTTTCCCAAGGCCCTGTCCTCACTTCACAGATCACACGGGGTCCCACCTCTGTGGATGAGATCCCCAACTCCTGACCCAGCCTCAAGAGACCTCACTTTCACATGCCAAGTGACCGAGTAGTTTCTGACCCTCCCATAAATTCACTTTCTAGATACTTCTATGTCCTACCACAAGTGCCACCATTTGCTCCTAGCTGAGTCCCCTATGCGCACATAGTTATTATCGCCAACACCACGGTAAGCCCACTTCCTCTGCACAGACCCCTGGGCTATGCTATGCTTCCTGCCACCACATCTGCTCTGTATTCTGGGCATTTAAACTCTTCTCTTTACCACAGGCTACTCCAGGCACAGCTGCCTCCCTCCTACACTCCAGATCCATTACCTGCCTGCAAAGAAACTCCACAGGATTCACACAAGGCCTAGACCCTATCTTAAGCCTCCTCTAGTGACAGCCATTGGACCAGTCCTGGTCCTTGTGCCTCAGAAACTGCGTGTGTCTTTGATTCAGACACAGCCTTCACTCCTGTTTGTCCACCCAGTCCAACCCTCCTCCTGAGAACTCGCTACAATCTCTCTCTGATCCCCAGATTTGTATTGTGAGCTGTTACCCTTGTATGATGGAATCTGAAGATGAGGTTCTCCAGTCTGGGGCTGAAGTTGAGGAACTGAGACCCCTCCTAGCATGACCATGGAACCCTAGGTTCTATACCAAGCCTCACAAAACACAAGATGAAGCAGACATGAGGGTGTAGTGCCTTCCCAAGACACCCCAGCGGCGGTCTGTATGTCTCACTCACAAATGCAGCAGGAAGGCTTATCTGTAAACCAAACAGAGCCTCAGCACAGAGCCTGTCCACATTACCCTGGTGTTGGGCGTTCAACACCGAGAACTGTGAAGGCATAGATGCCGGCAAGCTCTTGTTACACAGCCGGAGTGACTGCTACAATGTCAAGAGGCTTGTTTTACCAAAGTAATTCCTCCACGATGTCCTGAGCCACGCTCAGTGGCAGGCTTCAAGGTCAAGGGACTGCCTGCCCAGGACCACAGGGCCAGCCTATGGCGGGCTATACCCAAAGAGCATCGGCTCTGCCTTGCTTTTGGGCATCCTTGCCCATCTTTCTCTGCTCCTGGCATCCTCACCAGCCACCAGTTCTCTCCAGCTAGCAGCTGTCCGTCCTGCTCTGTATGGGGCCACATGCAGAGGGAAGGGACTCAGGACAAGCATCGTAGGGAGACCCTGTTCAGAACCAGTCTGCTGGGCTCCAAATCGGCCACATCCTTTCATGGGACTGTTCTGGGCCACCTCTGTAAAGGTGCAACAGGCATTCCTAACTTGTGGCTTTGGAGGGCATTGGTGGCGGCTAA